TTTTTTTTCCTTTCCTCTGAAAGCTTCGTTCCTTAGGGTCCCGCTGGCTTCGACAAGCACACGTTCATGAGAGCAACCCTGCGGTATGCCACCGCTCCAAATCGATGAGGCATCATATACAGTGGCACGCGATTGATCGATGAGGCAGGCCGCTACGCAGCCACCCGCTTAAATGTCGAGTACTTCGAGCTCATGCAATAAATATAAAGTGTAGCTCTCAGAAAACCCTCCCTGTCCATTCATACCCCTCTGTTCTCCGCCTTTTAATCTGACATTATGGAATGCGAGAAAGCATAGGCATTGATGCGGACAGAATTTCTAATGTCATTCGCTCATTTTTAAAATACGTTCGGGATTTGTTCAATATGCCATAGTAGGGTATTTTCCGTAATGAATGTGAAGCAATCGAAACAGCTGTTTTCCCCGAAAATTGTTTGTTTCGCCATCTATTTGTGTTGAGATGTCTAAAAACGTTCCCATGACTAAGAAGGAGCTTTCGGGAGTAGTATTCACAATAACCATAAGCAAAATGTACAGTCTTTCTATTCAGTTTTTCTTACTCCTACAGGGGTTACTTACTTACTAAACACTCAGTTGAACATGTGATTTAAATTCACCAAAAGTGCAAGACAATTTAAGGATTCTACGTAGTCGAGGGGTTCCATGAAAAACTTTTCCGCTGTAGACCTCTATTCAAAGAAGTTTTACCTTTTCCGTAATTGTAGAGTACCTTTCTGAAAATGAGACCAAGTTNCCAATCCTAAAATACGGCCCCTTTCTTCTTTCACGGTTGAAAGGCTGGTACTCAAGAGATAGAGGGAAGATGGGTAGGGAAGAACAAGCCGTTCCTGGTTCTTTACTGCACCACGCTCCACTACCTAAAATAGCATTCCTTTGTTTTTGAAACAATGGGCCGACTTGCCCTCTTCCGGTCTTCTGGGTTTTCGGATCAAAACCTCTGAACCATGCAGTTGAACTAAATGTATGCGTTTTTTAGGGCGGCATTTTAATGCATGCAAGATATAGAAGTCATACCGCGTCAAGGACTCCAACTCAAGGTATTAACCATTAGGAGAGCATCTTTATCCTCCAGGCCACCACAACCCTTGTTATTTTTCGAAATAAAACCGAAAACGCTGAGAAAGGAAACAGTAGCCATAACGGGTGTGGTGCAGAAGGGACGAAATTGTCGCGTCGCAGCGCAAAAGACGCCGCGCGCGAAGGAATGTAGCGGAATGAAGCAGCAAGTAAGAAACACAGGAACAAAAGAACTAACAAAGAAGAACCATGCCAAAAATAATAATCGCATTGCGATTGAGCTGTATGAGGAACGCTGGAACNCCTACTGCCCGCCTCCCAGCCATAACCACTTCCAAGAAATTTCCCAGAATACTAAGGGGATTTGGATTCAACAACTGGAGACGCATAAAAAAGTTTTTGCTGGACAGAACTTAGAGTTCACTTGACTGGAAACCGTTTACTGCATCTATAAATTCTGCATCAGATGTGTTCCCAGACTGCTCCTACTATCTAGTATACAACAGCCGTCAAAAAGCGGTAATTAAATCGCTACAGCCCTACGTAGGAAATGAATCCAACCCATACTTATGAATGGGGTTCTTCTATCAAGGCAACATAACAGACAGCTGTGTATAGTAGCTGGGTGAGCAATCACCTCCAAAAGCCACCACCTTACCCGAAGCACGGCACAATCCTAAAACGAGTCATAAAATCATATAAATCTTCTTCTTCAAATGAGTACAAAGACTACTTTTACATGACAATCTTTATTAAAATACAAATTAATTTCAAAAAATAATATCATGTATACATGGGTTCACTAATATAGTGTCCACCTGCCACCGGTATGAGCTGGATGACTTATATAGCCGGACTTTTGAAAAGTAACGCAACTCACGTCTCTTATGATGGGTTCTTACTTATGACATGTCACATTACACATACACACGGACACACCTATCTAGAATATCGGCTTAAAAACGTCTGCGTCACTTATTCGAACATAATCTGGCAAGAAAACCGTAATTTATAACAGAACAGTTGAGCTTTTTCAATTCTAATTACATTAGGAAATGACTAAATATACATTACAGATTTGTCAACGAGGCTACAAACCGATGTCATAAACCTCTAAACAAATCATAAAAATCTACCAGAAATTGTTTTACTCAGTAACCTACCTATCTAATCTGAAAAGTCTCTTTTTTCTAATTATCATACGAACACAACAATACGAACAACTCAAAATTCCAACTGTTTAACTGGCATGCGAGGAAGTAACTTGTTAACGTGAAATTTCGAGGCAGTAACAATCTTAGGCAACACAACATTTTGAGTCCATAATTTAAAAGTAGTAATCTGAGAAATGCGCGTGTCTAATGTAAAAATTTAGGAGCAAAGTAAACAGACAGCAAGACAAAGCCGAGGTTTCGAAACCAGAAGGTAATGAGTCCGCGATTCACTGTGACAAGGATCACAACAGGGTCTGACGAGGAGCATCTCGTCCAGATGTTCAGATGTCATTGTCATCGTCCAGGTCACCACCACGTACTTTTAGCTCACGTACTGTAGCCTGAGCCATTGCACCAAGCAGCACTTCAGGACATGATACGAACGCCACGTTATTGTTGTGGAAATGGGCGCAGATTTGTGTTACCTGTAATCCTACTTTAAGTAGACAGTAAAAACGGCAGAATAATCCAAGAGCAAAGGAAATCTATGAGGGAATAAATGCTCCACCATCATTGTTAAATGAGTACACGCACCTTTTCTCGTAGTGCTTCATCCTTCGTCACCCATATGGTGTAGACGTTCGGAGGTGCGACAGACAGGCATTCTTCTAACATAGGAAGATCCGTATCAGAGTCACCACAAACCAGTATATTACCTTGAACAATGGTAGAATTAACAGGTTCTCGAGGAAATTTCTTTTGACAAACAGAAAAAGCGTGATACTCGTAATGTACTGGTAAACAAAAGTCCGAATTACCGTCTTGAAGTTGCATGCCCATCTTTCGTTCGATAAGACGAACTCCATGACCCTTATTGAAGATCCGACCCGATAATTTAGCCTGAACGGTCACAAATTTACAACATTGACATTACATCATTTGCTTGCGCCCTGCCCTTGCTTGCGTTATACGGTATCTCACGATGTTTTTAAGATATCGTCTTTACCAACATACAGAAAAACATAGGTAATAATGGGCGTGTTATCAACGAGAAGCATAAGGCGTCATTTTTAGGCCGTAAAAAAAACCCCAGTTAAAACAGAATCAATCTCTGTCCCTTGGAATCTTACTCTCGATATGTATTTCGATAAAAAAAANGGTTAAAGAAATTAGCGATGAATATCGTTTAGGCATACCTTCGTATAGATTTTTATGTCATATTCGTTCTCCCTAATCGTAAGAATTGCTCCAGAAGGATCCACTTCATTGACAATCTTTGATACTTCATCGAACCTGAAGTGGCCTACAAAATACTCGTGTTGAGAGATTCGAAATTTGTAATCACTATCCCTGATACGAGTAGAGGTACTGTAGTGGCAAAAGATGCACTATCACATACCCATCGGTCTGGTATCCGATCCTCTGTCTGAGGATAGGATCCCAGACCGATATCTCCCCAGGGAAACCCACATTCCATTCCCACGGGGTCGTTTACTGGTGCCGGAATTGTCATGTAAGATGAAAGCAGTGACTGATACAGTAAGCGAGTACACCACTTACAGTTGCAGGCTCTTCCTGTGAGGAATCGAATTGTTAACGTCCTGCTTGGCGATTGTGATATGCCCATAATGTTTCTGTAGTCCACTACCAATCCAAGTGAAGTTTCGATATTCCGGATTTTCCAGTAAATCCTCGACCTATATAAAGGGAAATGTATGTTAAAAACAATAAAAATAATACAATACTCATTCACCTTCGAATGCCCTAGCAGACGCTCAACAATGTTCATTATGAAACTGTTTTAGCTCCGAACATTCATAGAAAAGCTGCTAATGCAAATCGAATTAATCGTGAGAAACGCTTTTCAACCGAGAAAAAACAAAGAGGGAAATATGAAGAAGCTGAGGCCCTTTATGCCTCTACCTCTGAGACGCATCACTATCGCGATATGGACACCAAATGACATGAGGTACCACAAACCTGACTTTCCGGTTCAACATGGCTATAATAAACTCCTTTTCAGAGTACTTTTTTGAAAAGTTCTTGCGAAACATAGAAAATGTGAACAAAGAGAAGAAGTATAGTGAGAAAAGGCACAATTGGTTCCATGTGGCAGCCGANCGAAGTACGAAATAGACTTAGGCTTGCCAATGTAATATGGCTTATCCCTCTCGAACTGGTGTGTAGACTCAGCGAGTAGAGAAGATCAAAATGTAATTTCAAATAAGGGCAGATGAAGGAGCACTACTACAATGCGGTTAGCTACCAAAAAGTTAGAGGAGCAACTTTACTGTCACGCCAGTTCGAAATACATGGAATTCACCTCAACTCTTCGATAGAGGAACCAACCATAGCCTTGTAACCAAGCGGAAAGAGCGTTCAAGTAGAAGGAATAAACAAAAAACAAAGGCAGAACAACACTCACCATATCGAATGCTTTATTGAGTAGCATGAGGTCAGCGTCGCTAACGCTGTCATCCTTGAACTGCATAGCCGGGTTGAAGTACCATTCACGACCAGCAGAAGCACCATATGCGTAATAACCTTGACGTGTTTACGCTAAGGACACCCTTTGAACAGGGAAATCCATAAAAAATTCACCTTCAGGCATGGTACTCATATTGAGAATTCCAATGTGGACAAGTGGAGCTGTCGTGACGATCGCACAAAACTGAGCACAACGTCGTGCAAACTGAGCCTGAAAGATGGGAAATTCTCTGGGGTAACTCTATCAAAGGTCTGGACATGAATTATTAACATACAAAATACTGGAAGTTACAGAAAGTGGAGTGAACATAATTTAATCGAATATGCAATACCTGAATTACTGCAGAGTAAGCAGGCTGCACACTTGTCGGATACGAGCACGAGTAACTCTTCAAAGTACCATCCCTTCAACAAAACTGCTTACGAGCAAGCTACCTTCTCGCTTGAATTCATCCTATATTNAGAACATGACGATCTACATAACGGAAACTATGCCCTATTTATTGGCGCGATATTTGATGTCTCAGATAAAAAAAAAGAATTGGACGATAGGAAAATAGATACAGTATGCTTAAAAAGTCGCAGAGGTTCGGCTATAGGTCAACAATTACGCCAAAACTACTAACTCCGAAATGTTATCGCCAGGGTAACGTACCTGTCGGTGAACACGTAGTGGAAATGGTCTCCAGAGGTCAACAATGCGGCAGCTTTCTCTACTTCAGCAGCGAAGGCAGTCGGTCCTGATGGATGGAATGAGCCAAGAGTCTAAAAACGAAGTGCTATAGATTCGGAACGGGATTTTTTCTCGAACCTAAAATAACTTACATCAATGAACTGTTCAACGTTATTGGTTTCATCAGACTGTATGAACGACAAGAATGCCAGGTCCTTTTGAAGCTCAGTCAGCTCATCAATGATATCAAACGTGGCATGAGTGTTAGCGCCATCAGCATCTTCACTGTGTGAAGTGGTCTCCAACACCAGAAGGTTCGAATCCGCCATACAACTATTCTCGAGCGAATTCTTCAAATAATTTATGGTTACGGTAGCATTTTCAGGGTCGGGACCTATTTTCAACAAAAGTCACCTTAGCATTCTCGAGCGACAGAGCAAAATGTGGTCGAATGGGCATACCCTTAAGGACGACTTCGACGATTTGACGCCGAATTTGAGCAGTTTGCGCCATCAACATGTAGAAATCAGCGATTTGACGAATCTTGAAAAAACGAATCCAGCACTATCAATAGTTATTTATGCCATAACATGAGCAGTAAGACTGACCTCTGTTGGTCGAATAACTTCGTGAGTCCAGCTAGGATCAAGGAAAGCAGTACTCCACTCATCAATATCATGACTTTTCAGGAACTGATTGAGTCGACCACCATGCTCTTGTCGAACTTCGCGCGTCTCGGTGGCCGCGCGATAGAATACCTCAGCAAAGTTCTGGAAACAAACAACTAGCCTTTATACTGCGCAGCAACTTCAAAACACTACGTACCTCGATGTCTGCGATGTCATCCACCCGATGATAACATTTCTTGTCATCCGAGTAAAAACCTGCATTTCCCAGTTGCACCTGGAATCGATCGAATAAAAATACTGTCGAAGAGCACTCCAAGTTCACCTGAGAAAAGATGGAAATGCAGTTTCATAAGAAAGAGAACTGCACCTCAGTCCCTGCTCCTGATGAAAGTACAAGGGAAGCTGATGGATTGCAAACCATCATCTCCTTTGCCACAAGATTCATACCGTCCTGAACGGGTATGTTCAATGATCCGTTGACAATGAAAAAAAAATGATCATCAACCTTGGATGGAGTAACGACACCAATATCCATGGCAAGATAATGAGCAACAAGGCGAGAACGGGGCAGACCATCGGTTTCAAAACGCAGTGGTCTCCAGTCTGGACGTGATTCACATCGAATCGTCTCATTGATTCCTTTAGCCAACTCAAGACAGCTATCCTGTAATACCGGTAAACCCATGAAAACTACGCCAATAATGGTTTTAGTGCTTTAAGGTTTGACGACACTTACCTGGTACCTCTTATACGACTCAACAGCACGCCTATTTGTGACAGCTATTTGATAGAGTACATCAAGTCCTTTCCTTTCAGGATGTTTCTCGAAATACCTTCAAACCAATATGTTCAGAAAGTAATTTAACATGAAAAACATAAAAACATCAAAATAAAAAGCCTACCTCTTCCAGGCTTTCAACTTTTCCATGATACCTTTCGTGTAGTCAAATCTTTCAACAGAGAAAAAGAAGCAACCACCTTCACCGCTGTTAGCCATCACCTGGTGAAACTTGTATTTAGTATCCAAAAGTTACTTATAAACGACTTTCTACTAGAATAATATAAGAATCATTCGCACGGCATCTGCAGATTCCTTCAAAGAAAAATTGACAAAAAAAGGAAAAGGAAGAAGTAATCAATACATCTTTTTTGATTTCCTGAGCATCTATGGCGCACTGGGGTTCATTAGCAATCGACAGAAAATCTTCATTTTTGATCGATACAGGGAACACTCCCAAAGAGCACGTCCATCCCTAAAGGCCACCTATTAGAATCTAAATCACCTCATAGGTAACGGTGAATATGTCGATTCTGTTGTCGAAATGTACTCTGGCTCTGGGAATGTACTCCCTCACCATCTGGACATAACGATCACGATCTCGGTGAGTTTGGAAACCGACCTTGAACAAATCACTGGCTAAGAATAGATAAACATCATTTTGTATCTACAAGCACTATCAGAACTTGTCTTAGGAAATTGAAAGGAACGAAACACGGTAAAACAGTGATATTTAGTAATTTTTCTAATACTTAGCAATATACGTAAGCCTCAAGGGTCTACTACTTGAAAGCTAACTGACTACATCCTACCCGCTGCCTACCATATTTTATCTGAATTCATAAAGCTTGTCCATTCTACTCGATGAACATCAGCCTTATGGAATTTAACATGAACATGAAGATTTCATACCTTTGTGAAACGTAAAATACCACGTAATATGGGATCAGCAACCAGCTTGTACTTCGTCATGAATTCCGGTGGAGGTTGGAATGGAATATGGAGAAAGAAGCCAACCTGATAAGGAAAAATAAATGAAACAACAGCAACCTTCTTTGAAACTTTAAAGATACCCTTACTTCAAGGCTACTGTCCAAACTGCGCATAATCTGACCAGTAAGCATGAGGTGATAGTCATGGATCCAGATGAAATCCTGAGGGCGGCTGTTACGAGCGGCATTGATGCCAAATTGGTAGTTTACACGCACATACGCACACCAATGTTCACGAAGCACCTTGAAAGTTCTTATTCTAAACCAAAATATAGCAGAAACAAAAAAAATCTGAAAAACACAAAAATTTTCAATATTAATCGATTAGCAAACTCACAGCTGGATCGTCATATTCTTTAACGATGTACTCTGCTAAATTATGAAGTGCTGGCCACAGAAGCCCATTACTGATCCCACCATAGTAAGCATTGTAATCTTCCTGAATATTGTATATAAACAAGTATTATAACAAGTATAACATGCCTAAACTGTAATTTCAAAAAGCCTGACAGTTCATGTAGCAGCGACGAACCTGATTCACGAAAACGGGATTGAGCTGATAGTTGGCTCTGTTATAATCGTGGAGTACAGATAACAGAGACATATCTCTTCTGAATAAAGGAGATACTTCTTGATATCAATGATACTTAATAATTACAAGAATTATGTCAAAACACGTACTCCACAAGTTGCTCCTTGTCAGTAAGCTCCTGTTTCTTGTCATTTTCCTCAAGTACATGGAAAATTTCACCAGCCCTGGCTTGTTTTATTAGAGGTAAACCAAGAGAGTTCGTCGACGGAGGAGGAACGTCCTGCAAAATTATTCACTGATCGCCGTCCTTTCTTCGAAAACAAGCTTGCATCATTTATTTAGTCTGAATGATGAATCTGTTGGCCTATTTGCGCCCTTCTTCAAACCAGAGCTATGGCGTCAGCTACTCAATGGCGTACGTGATACGCGGACCGTGCATAGAGCACGTTTGCTTCGGGGTAGAATCCACAGAACCGTCAGTTTCATTGATAAAATGTGTTTGCAAAGAAGGAAATGAACATACCATATCATCCAACTCATCTTTGCCAAGATTGATGCCAAGATTCGAGAGCCAAATATTTTCCTTATCTACAGACATCACCGGATCTACACATGACACCAGACCGCCAGAACCTGATTACAATACCGTAAGTTAGGACCAAGATGTCGTCCTTTCCTTAACAGAGTTATTTATCTTCCTGTCCTCAATGAGCTAAGTAAATGAGCTACGCCAAAGGGATTGCCCTTCTAAGTTCCTACTATCGACATTCTGCCAAATAGCTCTTTGCTGGGCACAACCTCAAAACTGAACAGGGTCTTAGGGCAGGCTATATACGAGTACTGATTAATGCAAGAATATTGACCAAAGGACTTCACATCTACCTTGTTTAATCTCCCAGCATCCGCTTCCTTTTCGTTGAATTGACACCGGCGGGGCATTCGACACATTGATCACCCTTTGCTGGAAAAAGAATAGCGATAATCTTCTTATGTTAGGAGATGCAAATAAATAATAGAAAATAAAATATTAAAGTTCCATAATATAGGGGAGCGTGTTGAAATCTCAGAAGAATGACCCTATCGTACCTTGTGATGAGTAGTGTTGGTTAGACCTGCAACTCCAGTTCCAGCCGACAATCCTTCACTGGCTCCATCTGACTGGCCATCTTCTACGGCATCATTATCCAGAGACAGAAGATCCTCCAACGATGCATGTGTAGATGACATCCGCGAGTTGGCACGGGAACGAACCATCTGAAGAATATCTCTAACTGTTATGGCTTGGATTGGCATTTGGCATTTCAAAGACTTTAAAGGCCTTTTCAGACTATTTTAGCAGTTTTCCCACATGAAACGTGATCCTGTTTAAACGGTCTCTCCACAGAAGTAACCCCCCCCCCCTTCCCCTACAAAAATAAGCTATGTTGAACAAGAGTACGGTAGCAAGATGCTTAAATCTTTGCTAGCCTCATTTATCTTTGCCTACGTAACAGCAGGGGATCACAAGCAGCCCTCAGCACTATTGCCATCCCCAGTGAGGATGCTTCCCTTCTAACGGCCTATGGTCTCAGTATTCGGCCTCATGCGAGCCCATCCTATAAATGTTTAATTTCAACGAGTCACTCACCTGAATATGTCGATATTTCTCGCCAAATTTCTTTGCATGCACGCCCAGCATGCTCTGACGTACTCCTGGCACAGCCGCATATAATTCACTGGAAACACAATTATTATTCAAATGGATAACTTGTATTATAAGACTTACAAACTAACCGCAATCTATTCTTGCTATTGTTTACGTCATAAAGAGCCAACGAGAACAAAAGTGAATCCCGGTACTGAGTTCCAAATGACAAATCTGAGTCATAAACTAGCGGAACAGCAATTTTCCAAAAAGCAACCTGAATAAGCATCAAGCCTATAATTATGCACAGGAAGATGGAAAAGTATATGCAAGTTTATGAAAAAAAAAACTGCAAGCACTGCTAAAACAGTATGTTTCCACTACTAAAAAGCAAAAGACCAGATAAACTTACTGAATTGAAACCCAGTTGGCTGACAAGATTGCCGAATACCGTGTCTTGATTGTTCGGTTGTGAAAGGCATAATTCCAGAACCATTAACATGCCCGGAAAACAAAAAACAATTATGCACAATGCAAAAAGAGGATTTTCTCATGAATATCCTCAAAAACCCACTTTCAAAGCAATTTCTGAATTCTGTTGACGAAGTTTCCATTCAGCACAGCACGCATTCGTAGCATATATTAGAAAATCTTCTCCTACAGTTTCCGGTACTTTGACGTTGATTCGAGATAAAATTCGTGCACATCCCTTAAAAGTGGTCTTGAATCAGGATAAAGAAAGCTTAATCTCCGCTTTGATTACTGTATTGAAACCCATACTGTACAGCTTAAAAATTCCAAAGCAATCTATACTCCTCTTTGAAAATGCACAGAAAAGGAAGTCCTCATCTTTAGCAGAGCCTATCTAAGACCACAGTTCAATTTCGAACAAAAAGGGCATTCATTAAACCCGTCCAATTGTTATCACTCTTTCCAAGCGTTATAATCTGTGCTGATGACACTTGTCAAACATTATGACGTGTTTGACCCAATGATTTCTGATGGAATAGCGTGAACGAAAACATCTCCGATTTTTGATCACTCTGCGTTTCTTGGCGGTGATGTCAAGATGGGGACATAGTATACGATGCGAACCGTACACCACAATGGGTACACAGAATGACAAATGAACTGGCAAAGGATTCCACTCGATCGAAGCCATATAGCAATTCATCTAATACATGAATAACTAAGGGGCCTGAACCCATAGATCGTTTTTGAACGGAGAATAAGGATCATATCAAATGAGTGCATGAAAAAGTACGTATGACAGAAAAATCGTTCAGAGGAGGCGAACAAGAAGTACACATGCACGTGAACAGTGCTACGGCTGCAACATGGTCTATGGATGATAAGAATCGGAGCAAAAGAATCGCTTGTAAGCCGATAAGATATGTAAAGCCTCTACTTTGTTGTACAATTATTTTTGCGACCTATGGATGCATTAGAAAAATTTGTATTTTTTTACATCTACAGAAGTAAGGAAAATACAAAAATGAGCAAAACTTACTGACCTCCTTCACTCGTTCAACAGCATCAACGTCACCTCGAAATGGTCGCTGGAACGGGCGATCCAATATGGGAGAAGATGATCTGTGCTCAGTATCCACTTCCATTTCTTCTTAAATAAAGTAATACTTTCATGATGGTGCCGTCTCCATTTGACATCAAAAAATATCCCGAAACCGATAGAATAAAGAATAAACAATAAGGAAAAGAACATCAGCAGAAAAAAAGAGCACGTTTGATAATAAGAATGAAATCGCCACCCTGACTTTACTTAATAATAATCAGGAGCAGCTTTATATCAAGCTGGCAAGGAAGTAACTGCTTACATTTTAAGAAATATGATAACCATTTCCAACAAAGAAAGACATTTATTCAGTCGTGTAACAACAATCAGAAACCAGGACATACCAATGAAACTTAAGCAAAAAGCTATTTCCCTTAGATTCTGTATAGTACCATCGCTCGCTCATAGAGCCTGCTTTGAATATTAAGGTGGTGTTTGAAAGAAGAATTCCCTTCGTCTGCCAAAAATCTCTATATTCTATACATACCAAAACTATAGANAGAACCTATTTTCGAATTGACTCTTCCAGCGCTGAATTTTGACTGGGATACCGTTCCCTGGCCCGACGTCTGGCTAACACCTTGTATTTGGTTGGAAATTATTTGACTACGTAAGTTTTGAAGAAATATAAACGCATTTTTTCTCAAAATATACTCCTTCAGTCATTTATTGTCCATAAAATACTCAGATACCTGTTCTATAAACATAAATCACTTTGAAAACAGGTTCGTTACCCTTGAGACAAATGTTTGAAGAACTTGGACAAATACGCAGTTACTTACATGTCAATCTGATAAATAACAAACGAGCACTGTAGAATAGACAATGAAAGTGGAACTAATGGGCTGCATGGAAAGGACACCACATTAGACGGAACATGGATTTGAATTTCAAATTAAACTTCATGTAAAATCGTTTTGTTAAAGAAAGGCACGAATTAGAATTCGTTTTACATAAGCAGGCAATCCATATTTAGAAGAGACATTTCTCATAGGCAATATGTGAGTGTTAGAGAAAAGCCAAGACGATCATGGAGTTGATTGGCTCGTTTCTGCCTTTTCAGCTTTTAGCCATCAAGGCTGGCATTCATGCCTTTTGGCAATAGTCAATAATCCATCAAATTTCAAAACACAATGGTCTTTGATGCCGACATCAGCAAATATTTACGTTCAACAAGCGGCTAGGGCCAGAAAAAAAACTAATAAAAAACTCCAGTAAAAAGAAGCATGACATATTGGCAAACACATCAAAAGAAAGCATATGGTGGCTTCTGTTCAAATCAGAAACCATTAGGAATAAATGAATAACAGCTAAAAATAAGCCAGTCATTTGAATTCAGAGGAACATTGAAGCAGCTCGAAGCCTTAACGTGCTGTAAGGCTAAAACAGCAAATTACAGCTTCAGACCTTTTCATGTTGATTACTCCGCTGTTATAGGGGCCAATAAAATCCCAACCATACCTTTTATACAAATTGCATCAGAGTCATACCTACACTAGATTAGAATTCTATAAATAAGATGGGTATGACTTTGAAATATCTACTTCGGCTAGGTCTTACGGTTTGAAACGTCCACCACCTCGGACCTTATGATTCTGATCACCGACTTAAGATCGATTTCTCATGCATGCATATAAACGATGACGAATCTAGGAATTAAAGGAACCCAAATCGGTTCCACCCGTGAATTTTCAGGGTCCTAAGGNGTTACTACAGCCTTACAATAATCATACTTGCACTAACTTAGCTTAAGAGTAAAAACAAAAAAACTTTAACACTCTTCTATGAAAGATCGAACAATTCTGATGAGAAAGGCATATAAATAAGAGAATTTCTCTTTTACGAAACCATAATTTAATTAACAAATGGTTGTAAGATTAACAAAATTTAGGCAAAATTCACTATGAAAAGCCTTAACCCCACCTGCGAAAAGATACAAAAAGAAAAAATTCAAGCATATATTACACTAATAAGCTTGAGTATATACAGGCGTAAGTAAATGAATGTTGTAGGGAATAGTCGGCATATTTTTTCGGCGCGAAATGTTCGTCCCTAATCAGAGGCCTAATCGCTCAGTATGGACGACACTGACGGGGTAGCCTTTAAAAACCACTGATTTTCACTACCACCACGGAGATAAGAAGACCAACAATCACGGACAAAGAGACAGCCACGAAAATTACAATAAGATTACAATTACCGTGGTAGAGATGATGCAAAAATAACTTCTACCGCAGGGAAAGTGTTACTATATCGATTTGTGACCACAACAGAAAAAGTTCCGATAATTGCATTCCATTTTTTATACATAAAAGCGACCTTAATACTTTAAGAATTAAAAAGAGAGGAAACTAGGAGGTAATCAATACGGAAGATATGAAGTTCACACCTAAAAAGTAAAAAAGCTAATTCTAACCAGAATGGGATCGCCAGAACAGCCGGAATCCCACCATATCTACAAGGTCTATTATCTATACAAATCGAAAAAACGATCAGCAAGGAATAGCAATTACTAGGACACCTGAAAGCAGAAAGTAGTAACNATACGGAAGATATGAAGTTCACACCTAAAAAGTAAAAAAGCTAATTCTAACCACAATGGGATCGCCAGAACAGCCGGAATCCCACCATATTTACAAGGTCTATTATCTATACAAATCGAAAAAACGATCAGCAAGGAATAGCAATTACTAGGACACCTGAAAGCAGAAAGTAGTAACCATAGTAGTAAAGTTAGTAAAGTCCCACAGCCGGTTTTCACAGTTGCAATGGTATCCGGTCGCAGCAGTGGGGTTCGGATGGGTATTGGCAGCGCGACGCGGTTGCATGGCAATCTGGCTGACCAACAAACAACGAGCTGATCTCCGATCAGCTAGCAAAAAGCGGTTGTCCCGCCCGTAAACAGAGGCTTTTCCCTCTCTTGACCACGTGAATATCATATGTTTACAGAAGTCGTCCATGATTTTCAATAAACACTCTTATCACGCAACGTTCCTACTTGTATAAATAACCACTTAGTCACCAAAATGAAAATAAAATCGGTTTAAGTAAGTAAAAAAGAAGATAGTGACTGCAGACAAGGTGATCTGGCACTGGCGCATTGACAAACATAAGACAACAAAACGCCCCCCCCCCCCCTACGAGCCATTTCGTCCATTACAAAGCTCGGAAGGGGTTGTCGGCGGTCGCGTCGCGGTCATTGTTAGTAGGGCGCGTCAGTTTGTGTGACACTTGAAATTTGGTAAAACCATTGTTTATTCCATGTCATGAGAACTGGTAAAGTGAAGAACTTCAAGAGGATGAAACGTATTTGCTGCTAAAAGACTTTTATTTAGCAACTTTGACTGTTTTCGTGCATTTGATAGACATAGCATTTGGGACTGCCTGTTATTTCTTAAAACCCTATCTGAAAAAGTGCGCATTACTTTATACCCTCAGGGTACAGCCTGTAAATGTCTGAGATTAGGATGAATGGGAAATTCTCAGTGTAAAGATAAAAGGGTAGAAGATAAAGCATTTGGCGCTGAATAATACTCTTTCGAAATGCACTATTCCACCTGTTGTTATTTGAGGACAAAGAATTATTTGAAAATGTATTAGCCTACGTTAAAAAATCCCATTAGATTATTTAAGGACCATAGGGGATTTATAGGGTTGAGGAAGTTTTTCTTAAATATTTGAAAACTTGAGCAAAGTAGATTATAGCCAACTTATAATTCCACGATGACTTTCGTTGTGACCCTGAACTGCAATTTTTCCACCTGGGACCTCCTTGAGATGCAAAATTTGAAGCAATATTTGAATTACTATTTTAATCTCTAGGTAAATTTGGCAACAACTAAGTGAGTCAGCTGGCAATATTGAATCAACTGCCAATGATAAATGGTGCCATATGATTAATGCAGTGTATAGGCAAAATCATATGAATCAATATTGAGTCGATGCAATATTTACAAAATTATTAAAACTTGTTTCAACACAATTCCGCTATAGAATGATGCTTGACAGTTCTTCTAACTTACTAACAAATTTCAAGGTAAAATTTGAGTAGTAAAACGAAATTCGGCTTGAATATTTCTACAACCATGCAGGCCAAAGGGGTAGTCGATAATAACTGTGCCATGCATAGAAGATAATTGTCAATGAAGCTAATTAAGAATCCGATAACGAGTTAAAAATAGGCTTAAGTATATGGGGAGGGCCCTCTCCCTGAGGGACGTATTTAGGCCCGTTGGGGAAGGGAAACCTCTGGAAAGAGGAACTTTACACAACAACAGAGTACTATGGGGTTGCTTCGCGGGCGTTACGGGAGCGTATTGTTAACCTCCAATTTCATAAGTGCACTTTGAAGTGCATGTGGGAGGGGGCTAGAGGAGAGGGGAAGCATATTTTGCGTTTTGGGTTCAAAATAAGGAAATCGTATTTGGTAAGATGGAATTCCAACGTCATGCTTGGCTTTGGCAGGAAAGAACTGAATTTCAATTACTATATGTTCGGAGGAAATGTTTTGATGATGCTATTCAGGA